ATGCAACTACTTCAGGCCCAATGCCTGCATTCCTCGTGACAGGGCCTCAGGCTACCGGGGCCTACTGGAAGCTTCTTGGACTGGACGCAAGCAGGCCACGGGGATATAGGCAAGGGCCAGCCTCCTCATTTGACATTCGGGTGCTGGCTGCATGCGGCGAGAGCGCTGCTGCTCTATTTGCTGGCTGGCGCCCTCGCACTCACGGGCGAGTGTGGAAGAAGCAGGCAGCCATAGCCACRCTGCCTGCTGTAAGCTGGGTTGGGCGCAGGTTGGTCCTTGGGTGCTAGAGGCATCTGTGCGGTGAGGATCGGGGTTGAGAGCAAAGCGGGAGTCATACCTAGTGCTTGAGACGAGCGGCATTGGCCGCATATGCTCGTACTTCGGTGAAGCTGTTGACGTCAACCTCGGCAATGTAGTAGTAGGCTAGATAGGATCTGCCATCTTGTAGTCTGGGCGCCGAGCGCCAATAGGATACCAACTCTTGTTCTTCGTTGATGATGATGAGAGACAATTTCAGCATTGTCAATTATGAACTATTGCTGTGTTCTTATTTGGTATAACTCGTGATGCCATTCTGCTTATGGTTCGAGGTCATGGCTATTTGGTCACTCATGTATGATGCTGTTTGAGTTCTGGAATTCGCTATTGCTCATCTTCCTTGCAACAGGCAATGCTAGACAAATAAAATCTTGCACTTCGCAGGGCAGCGCGTGCTAAAAGATCAAGCAATACCAGTAGACAAAATAAATCCAATAGCCTTCAGCAACTGGGACTGTTAGGGGGACCACCACCGTAAAGGGACCAATCAGCAGTTCTAGGAAGAAAGGAAAGTCTGGCAGCTAAAGGAACTGAGAGGAGCATCCTAGTAGGAACCCAAACAGGCAAGATTCTAGCGTCTTAAGAAAGGCTAGGATGGACTACATTCTTCCCCCGAATACAACGTATGGTGATTATAGCTGTATTTCAGGCACCTTTCAGTCCAGGTGCAGCCATAATGACCGGGAGTTGTATTCGGTGGAAGAAGGTAGAAGATGAGAGTAAAAGCAATGTAGTCTAAGCTAACTTAGGAAGGGGTGAGGGGTGGTAGGTACATCCTTCCTTGAGGAAGTAATCAAGGCCGTCCTTCGGGCCTTCACACCAGAAGGGGGAGGAGCGTGTGTGAGTTCTCTTTGTAAATTCTTCCTGACTTGCAGGTGGAATAGGGACCGGACTGGAGCTCCCGAGAATGGAAAAGGAGCCAGAACCTTAGTGTGTGTGTGTGTGTGTGTGTGTGTGTGTGTGTGTGTGTGTGTGTGTGTGTGTGTGTGTGTGTGTGTGTTTTAAGAGCTGAAGCCGCGGATCAAAATTGAATCGATTTTTTAAAATAGAAAAACATTGCATAACAAAATATTAAAAATAATCTATTGCCGCAGTATTGCGTGCTTTATGAACTTGCTTGATTGATCATAACTTGTGTTTTTTGGGTTGGTTTTGGATTTTTGTATAGTTCTACGGAGAGAAAAACAAAACAGATGGAATAAGAATTCTTTTAGGAAAATGGTGTATAACACATCTACCAGGACGAAAACCAACCACGAAAAATAGAGGGGAAAACCGCGGAGCTCCAGAAGGTGGGGAAGCTGCGATTTTGTGATTGGACTGATATTATTATCGATCAGGCATTCCAGATAAGACTGGCAGTGGCACAATTCATCGACCTTTTCTTCTCCCTCCAGACAACAGTGTCATTGACATTGCTTGGTATGGGATGAAGCATACGACCCTTTGCAGCATCACAAAACAAACGAGCCCTCTTTTGAAAAAAAAAGAAAAAAAAAAAGAAAAAAAAGAAAAAAGAAAAAGGAAAAAAAGAGCCTGATAGAATAGCAAGATTATAGAGGAACACAGGTGGCCTTGGTCAGGCTGAAGAGGCAGAACTCTTCTGTAGCACCTCTTCACAGGAGTGACACCAGTCCCCAATTTATCCCACAGGCAAAAGGCTGAGTGGATAACAGCAGCGCCACAGGCAGAGAGAGACATGCACCCTACTCTCCCATCTCTACAGCCCCCATAGTGGATCTTTTCCGACATGGCTCCTCTCACTCAGACCACAACTGGATCACATCCTCAGGACACGAGTGACGCAGGTACACGGAGGGGCACAGATTCGCTTGCACTGCTAGATGAGGCAGAAGCACAGATGCTTTGTGAGTCCGCCTACTAGAGACACCGATCTCAGAAATGTTAAGGAAACACGGTGTGGAGGGGAGACTGAGGTATCAGCAGCTGGGAACTGGGAGGTGGGAAGATACATCAGGAACAGAACTGGTAGCAAGAGGTTCTAATTTTTTTTTGGGCCTCCACGGTTACTTTACCTGATCTTGTTAACTGAATGATCACACGGGTCCGGTCTCCCAGCTGGACCCGTATTTACTATTTACTATTTACTATTTACTATTTACTGAACGATCACACCGGTAAAAAAACTTAAAAAAACTTAAAAAAGTCAAAAAAAGATCACAGTCAGTGCTTTTTCATGTAAAGAGTAAATAGGGGTCCAGCTGGGAAACGGGACGCGGGACCCGTTTTCCAGCAGGGCTGCTCGCCACCAATAGCAATAGATTGGAGCAGTTAGAGACGGATCCCTACTGCCGCGGTTCTCTCACCACCTACTGGATAGAGGGGATGCAGCGTGATGTTTCAGAGGGAGGGAGGGGGGGGGGGGGGGGGGGGGGGGGGGGGGGGGGGGGGGGGGGGGGGATCTGTGTCAGACAACTTAAACTTTGCTGGCGTATTTACAGTCTTAGTGAGTGACACTGTGTGAGAGAAGGATTAATATGCTCTTTTGACACGATTATTGTTATGCTCCCAGTCACACATAAAATCTTCTCCTAGGACAGGTGAGTTCCGTGATATTTCGAGTTGAAATGTTGATGCAAGATGGACAGAATAAAATAATTCTGAGTTACCTGGGGGGGCAGGTGAGTACCATGTTGGTATGTCAACTTTCTCAAGGCCGTCGGCCCGTCGCCCTTTTAAAAAGGAATTGTGAATGCGTCTGACCTGAAGTACCACCAAACTGATTCATGATTGTCCCACAGTGCACTCCAAGACGAATCCCTTCTTTTTTTTTTTTTTTTTTTTTTTTAAACAAATGCTTCAGTCTATTCGTGGGGAGCAGCACGTGCTGGGAACCGGGCCCATCGTTCCATATCGACTTATACAGATCCTTGAGAACATTTGCGATCATTTAAGATACCGGGGCCATTACCGGCCTAAGCGGCTGAGATCAGTCTGTGAATTCTAATGACCTATTAAAGACAAGACGAATGCCAAATTGCACGTCGAATTGAATGTGTTTGTGTATCATACTATCTTTGTTCCTTTCAAACGATGAAGAGGCACCTTTTGCAATGCCAAGTTTGGGAAATGTGGTGCGTTGTCGTCATCAGTTAGACCAATTCTGACAATCAATTTGCTGCCGGATCGGGGATGAGCAAACTCTTTGAAATCTGTCCTCAAAATGAGAAAATTTGAAAATGTGTCGCATGCACACCTAGCTACTCAGGCCATAATACTCACACTAACACCATGGTAGATGTATCCGACAGCATTTACAGTCAGGCGTATATATATATATATATGGCTGAAATTACGTCAAGAAGTAAGTTAAAAAGTCCTAGTCTAGTCTTGTCCTTTGGGACATCCGTTAAAATTGGAACGATACAGAGAAGATTGGCATGGCCCCTGCGAAATCAAGGATGACACGCATAAATCGAGACATGGTCCAAATTTAAAAAAAAAAAAGAAAAAAAAAAAAAAAAAAAAAAGTCCTAGTCTGAGTAGGCCCTCAGTTTGAGTTTTTTTGCGCTGGTTTCGTGATACCACCGCCAGCCATTTAGATTTGGTTTATGCTGTTCCGCAAACTTTTAAGGTGGCAGGACGTCAACAACCATTTTTATCGGACGCCGATGCTGACGTGCTGTGACATTTGGGGAACGAAAATGTCTGACAAAAATGGCTGACATTTTAAGGTGGCAGGACGTCAACAACAATTTTTATCGGACTGAAGCTACATGGCTGACGATGGCAGCCAAGAAAGAAAATGTACCAGACTGATTTCGTTTTCAATTCGCCTTTGGTGGGCAGAGCGTTTCTTCAGCGCGTTTCTTAGCTCTGTAAGGGTTTAGGGTCATAAGTATTGGGCTGCCCTGCCTGTGAAGAGAAACCAGCACTTGGTCTGCACAGTGAATGTCATGATCTCCGCTTGTTGCAGGGGCAGTTGAGCAAAAGAACTCAGCCAAAGCATGCAAATTTGCTAATCTTTTTTTTTTCTTTTTTTCTCATGCATATGTCGTCATTGCACAGGTGCCATGCTTATCGTCTCTTTATCGCTTTTTATTTCGACGGATATCCTGAAGGACAGGATTTGCTAATCTATAAGCCACTCGGGGTAGCAGGCTGGCCGCGGCGTCAACTGCACGAGGAATGTGGTCACGCTGTGAGCCCGCATTCAGAGTACTTTGCTTTTGTGCGTTCTGCTCTTTTTCCAGGGTTTAGTTCTTGAGTTCTGAGCCAATAATTGCTTTCGGCAAATTTGGAATGAATGTGGTCACGCTGTGAGCCCGCATTCCGGTAGGGTGGTGTTGGCCTGCGTGCTCCCTTTCTAGCTCATGGACGGTCAGCCGTTTTGGTTCGACGCCGCTGTTGAAGATAGTAGTCGTACCGTGCAAGAGCATCCTTTTGTGAGGCAACATGATTAGAGACATTGGTTGATCTCTCTCTCTCTCTCTCTCTCTCTCTCTCTCTCTCTCTCTCTCTCTCTCTCTCTCTCTCTCTCTTTGTTGAATTGGAATCGAGAAGGTGGATTGAACTCTCTCTCTCTCTCTCTCTCTCTCTCTCTCTCTCTCTCTCTCTCTCTCTCTCGTTGTTGTTGTTGAAGAATTGGAATCGAGAAGGTGGATTGAATCGAGAGCGGTTGATGCTCTATAAAGTTGCAGTAGGAAGACACCGAAGATGATAGACTATAAAGTTGTCCCACATCCTTCTCTGGGACACACAGAGGAGGAGGAGGAGGAGGAGGACAACGAGCAGCGAGAAGCGCTCTTGAGTGGCATCAAGAGAGTAATTGATCATCCTAAGCTGTTGGATGTCACATTTGTGTGCGAGGACCTGCGCGAGGTGCGAGCAAACCGAACGCTGTTGGCGGGTGGGAGCGCGTACTTTTTAGATCTGCTGTATGGAGACAAGGAAGAGAGCTGCATGGGCACGATACTTCTCCCGACCGTGAGGGCTGACGGCCTCCAGGTTCTTGTCAGATACCTTCATGGTTGTCCCTTCCGATGGAGCGACGACAGCTCCTGGGACATTATGGTGGACGCCTACCTCTTAGCGGACCGGTATCGGGTAAAGGGGTTGTGCAAGAGAATCTTACGCTTGGTACCGACGCTGGGATATCCGGCGGAGCTAGGGGACCTGCTGAACGCAGCGGTTCCAAGACATGCAACAACTATTCTAAAGGCTGCCGTGGAGGTATTGAACGACGTGGTCGCATTCGACTCACAGTCGTTCGTAGGTTGGGCAAAGGATAGCATCAAGTACTGCCTGGAGAACGTGGCATTCCATCCGAGCGTAACTGAGACGATCCTCGCGGAGGCAGTCATCTCAGCTGCGTCGGGTAGTGTTCTTAGTGATGCACAGGAAGTCAAGTGTCGGCGTTCGTCAGCGGCAGGCGACGCCATGGAAAAGTCGTTTGAGCACCCCCTCGATGCTGTGGGAGTGGGTACTACTAGTCCGTATGGCGACAACGGGGGGGTTGATCTTGATCGAGAGGAGGTAGGTTCCTTGTCGATAGAGGATGTGGGTGAGGTACTGAAAAGTCACATTAATCTGGCTTTTGTGAGCCCTATATTGCTGAGGGAGAGAGTCGAGGACCTGGGGATCTTGAGCGCAGACATACTTGCTGCAGTCTACAGTGTGCAATCCGTCTGTTTTGCAAGAGGAATGGCTTCCACTGCGTTCTTTGCGATGCCTTGGCGCTCCTTGACTGTCGTAGGGTCATCGATCGCACCACTTGAAACGGAAGAAAGCAGGATTTGCAGTTTCTACAGAGAGTTTTCCGTCCCATCCATCTTGTCTCAGTCTTTCTTTGGGGCCGGCTTCAAGAGATCGCCGGAGCAACCACAACAAGTGTGGTGCTGCAGAAAGGACATGGCAATGCTTGTTTATTTGTGGGTGTTGCTTCGTCCGGGGAAACACATATGGATGGCCCGCATGCTCAACAAATGCGATCACTTTGGTGTCGGGATCTCCACCGTAGGTCTATTGCCGGGTAAATGCTGCATGATGACCTGTGTGGGTACCTCCTTGTGTTCATCGCCTACCGACTTCTGTTCGCCATTTATTTCAAAATCTGGGTTTAAGAAGTTTGACAAGCCCGGATCGACAGTGATAGTGATCTTCGACCAGTGCAACGGAACTCTTACGTTCGCCAATGATTTGGAAACGTACCGCAATTATGAGGGGGAGTACCCAGTCGCCTACACTGGCATCCCTCAGTCCACGGCTATGTATCCGGCCTTGTCGATGCTTGCGCCCGCCGGTGGGGAGATAGAATGGATTGAGAGTTCTGCACGCCCAGAATTTGCGCGGCAGCGCTAGGTTAAAGATTCTCCCGTAAACAACCACCCACGAGTACATACATCCGCGCCTCATTTTGCCACCAACTCGGAGGTGGATTCCCCGGCGTGCAAACGCCCAACTTTGCCGAAACGTTAGGATCGCGTTGTTTTTTTTTTTTTTTTTT